GTTCAAGACAAATATTGCTGACGCCATTTCGAAATATTTTAGGAGCTCTATATATTCAAGTATCAGCCGCCTATCAAAATTGACGCGATTCCAATCTTAAACTTCTTTATAATCCATACGGTGATTTCTGTCCAAAACTAGCTTCAAAAAGTACTAATTACTGGTCGTATAACCCGACTCCGGAAAAAACTTCGTCGCGGGGGATGAGCTAACTTCCAATTAGCGTTACTTTGATTATGCTTAAATATTAATTCCAATCGTCCACGTCGTAATAAAAGAAGTGAACGATGCTGACGACGCAGAATTGGGGCGCAGTAACTAGGTTACCTGAAAAGGTCACTGATAAGAGCAGATCAAGAGCCATATATTTAATCATCAAAGTCTTTTCCTGGCAACAATCGTGATTTTAATCACAGCTGGCGAAGGTAAGGTCAGCAGTGATCACGATGATACAGTCACAATACATGCACTACTGATGTCATGAGAGGTCACACAAATAATGAGCATCACCCGACGGAAATGGTGGAATTGGGGAATCTGCAGTATGGATAAGTGCTAGCTGGCTCCTCGATATAACGGTATACGGTGAAGTTGTACAGATTTATCGGTGATACTGTTAGAGGGGTCGGGATCGAGGAGGGTTGCGGCGGATGACCTCATTCTGCCACAGCATTACTACACCATCTATGCACCAACATGTTTCGGTTTCTGAACTACTCAAATAACCAGTTACGCGGGTGAAGTGAAGAAGCAGGGAATATGCATTTTCATGGCGGCGGTTTCTCCTTCTCTAAGGAGATCCTTACGAGTAGAACAAAGTTGCCCTAGGAGCACAATTAATTTTGGTTTAGTCGGAGACCCAGATGGATATGAGTGGTTTCACAGCCGGGATGGGGAACATTTGGAGCAGCTTTTCCCGAAATTCGAAGCTTAAGATGAGATCAGTAAAGCTTGGTTATCCGAGTAGTTATCAGTTAGCATAAGGTGTATTTGTAGAATTCAACCTAATGTTTATTACTGTGACAAAGATTATTGAACTTTGCCGTGACGGACGGAGGTTGCAAACCTAGCTGAGCTTGCCAGCATAATGGTTATATTTGAAGCATGTATATGTAACAATCTAGCGTAAGTATGTTCCCCTGTCTTGACCACGGAATTCACTCGAGTAACGATGCGAGATACCGGATTCGATGGTTTTTAGCAGTGGGCGCCGAATCATGTCATTGCAATGATGGAATGGCACTGTCACACCCAGTGTGATGGCACTCCCGTAGAATATTCAGCCTCGACCGCAACCTCGCGCACACTCGAGTTTGTTAATACAATTACAAGCAAATTTTTCATATGGCCCCAACCGTCTCTGGGACGAGTTCTTTCCTCTTCAATGAATTTTCGTTCATATTTGGCCAGCCTGGTTTTCTGCTTCAATTTCCGCTCGCCTCTTTCCAAAGTTCAATTCCGTATACGGTGTTCGGTTGACCTCATCCAACCAATCCCTTGCACCTGACTTAACAACAACCGTGCGACCAGTGAGTCTACCTAGCTTCATATTGAACCACCTTTTTGGGATAAAAATTGCCACTTTCTCTCAATTCGAATTATTCCATCTTAATCCCCACTTTTGTCCGTTGTGACTCTGGCCATATACCCGACTGCTCAAGGTCACTCATGACCAGCAATGGCTTTCAGTTTTAATTAATGTCAGCCGCCTTGTTTTGAACTAGTCGGACTTCATGCCCACTGTTCCCCACAGGTTGATATTGTAGTTCACAGTTGGTCAGAAGAACGCGTAAGTACGGACACGGGTGTATTGGGTACACGCGGCCAAACTGGTCCGCTTTCATGGCAGGTCAGCAAAACAACTGAGTCACATATCCAGTCAACCCACAGCGCCCACGCCAACCAACCAATCGGACACGCATCCAATCAGCCACTCAAGTCGCACGTCAGATCGATGGTGGGACGACGAACGTACACGCACACGAAATCTTGGGCACGTCAGATCGATGGTGGGACGACGAACGTACACGCACACGCGCTAAATCTTGGGCACACCGAAGCAGCTACTACAGTCCTCCACCGCTAGATTTAGCCAACACCAGCTTGGTAGCGTTCGACCGGCCATGACTCCCTAGCCGACCGGCGCAGACACATTGACGCATCTGTGGGTGTTTCCGAACTCTCTTGCTCCCGTCCGGAGTTCACCTGCACTGTCGTCTCCAGTGTTTGTTCCGCATTCGTTCCATAACTCCTAGTTCTGATATGGTCTAAATGACGGCGTATTATCCTCCCGTCTTCTAACAGCATGTCAATAAGGTTACGGTTTGTCGAATTCACACATCCACGCATCCAATCGCTATATGAAGGCTGAAGCTTGACGTTAACCTCCTCGCCACCTCGTAATGTGTGAGGTCGGGCGTGTTTATATGCGTTTTGCTTCATGGAAAACTGCTGCTGTTTGACCTTTGGTGACAAATCCGGTCGCAGCAGATCCAAACATGTTCTTAGTCTTCGGCCCATTAGCAATTCGCAGGGTGCCTGGCCCGTCGTAGTGTGCGGCATAATTCTGTATTGCAACAAAAACTTGTCCAACCTTGTTTGTAGGGGACCTGGGCTTTGTTTCCTCAGTCCATTCTTTATGTTGCCACCGCGCGTTCCGCCAGACCGTTAGAAGCGGGATGGTATGATGCTGTAAGAACATGCTCAATCCCGTTGGCTCTCAGAAACTGCTGAAATTCCGCACTGGTAAAAGCTGTGCCGTTATCAGTAACAATCGTATCCGGCACACCTTGCGATGCGAAAATGCTGCGGAGTGTAGACATGGTCAACGCACCAGATGCAGTTCTAGTGGGCACCGCCTCAATGCACTTGGAATATGCATCGACAATCACCAGGATCATGTAACCTTCAACAGGTCCACAATAATCTACGTGTATGCGGCCCCACGGTCGTGACGGCCACTGCCACGGTGATATGGGTGCTGCTGCGGGCAAAGCCCTGCTTTGCTGACACGCTTCACACCTTTGCAGGATCCTTTCCACATCGTGAGTGATACCAGGCCACCAGACATAGTGTCTGGCTAGAGCTTCATTCGCGTGTTACCTGGATGGCCTGAATGTAATTCCCTTAAAATGTCCGGACTGTAGCGCCTCNCTCTTGCTCCCCATAGTAAACATCCATCCTCTACACTTATCTCCGACGATCGATTATGGAATCCGCTTAGTGCACTTCCAACATTCTCCGGCCAGTCGTATGAAGTGAAACGAAGCACTCGTGAGAGTTCTGGAGCCTTTCTTGTTTCCACTCGTATTTCCGCAGCAGTGATAGGCAAATCATCAACCCAACTCATTAGATTTACCAGTTCGGCCGGTTTCGGTGTGTGCAATGGCACATTTCGTAATGGTAGGCGACTTAGGGCATCCGCTGTGAAATTCCCTTGTCCTGGAGCGTACCGCAAATGATACCGATAACACGCAAGTTTTAAGGCTCAACATTGCATTCTAGGCGACGCCATTTGAGGTATCGGTTTATTTTCTCCGAGAATTCCAAGTAGAGGCTTGTGGTCCGTAAATATATCGAACGTTTGTCCGAAAAGGTAGTGCTGAAAACGTTTTACTCCGAAAGAACTGCTAATGCTTCCTTATCAATTTGTGCGTGATTCATCTCTGCAGGCGACAAAGATCATGAAGCGTAAGCAATTGGTTTGAGGATTCCCGGTTTATCCTTCTGCGATAACACGGCCCCAAAACCATATGGTGATGCATCAGAAGCGGGAAGAATGGGCTGTGTTGAATCGAAATGGATAAGCACCGGTGGGTTCGTAAGAGCACGTGTCACCTGTTGAAACACCTTCTCTTGTTCATGATTCCAAGTCCAGCTAACTCCCTGACGAAGCAAGTAATTCAGTGGGTGGAAAAATGTGGCAGCTTGCCATATAAACCTCGCATAGTGATTAACCACGCCCAAGAAAGATCTTAGTTCATGGTTATTTCTTGGTTGTGGTGCTTCTAATATTGGACGTATTTTCTCGACTAGAGGGGCCAAACCATCCGCACTGATGCGGAAACCCAAATAGTCCACATGATCCACCAGAAAGTCACACTTCTCTTTCTTTATTCGTAGACCGCACTCCTTCAAACGATCAAGTACCTGTTTCAACGACTTTAAATGATCCTCCATGGTACACCTGGTTTTCAGAATATCGTCTAAATAGAAAAACATTCTAGGTATCCCCGCGATAACGTTTTGAATTGTACGTTGAAATATGGATGGAGCTGAATGGATTCCAAAAGGAAGGCGAATAAACATAAACAGACCGCTATGAGTACTGATGGTTGTAACAGGCTTGGCTTCCTCCGTTAATTCCACTTGCTCGTAAGCATGAGCTAGGTCTAGTTTTGAAAAATATTTGCTCTTACCGATTTGTGCGTAAACGTCTTCGATTTTAGGTAATGGGTAATGTTCTGGGGGTGTGCTGGCATTGACCGTGGTTTTATAGCGACCACAAATTCGAACTGTGCCGTCCGGTTTCAGTATTGGCACAATTGGTGTGGCCCACTCCGAGAACTCCGTCCTTTGAATTATTCCATCCCGTTGCGAATGGTTAAGTTCTTCTTCAACCTTTGGACGCATCAAGTAGGGCAGTGACCGAGCCTTCAGGAATCGCGGTTGTGTTCCTGGCGAAACGTCTATATTCAGCTTCCCCCCCGGAGAACTTGCCAGTTTTCGGCTCAGAAAATGCTTCTTCATAATTGCGGATAAGAGTTTGAACCTCCGGGAGTGTCGAGACCTGGTTTAACGTAAGTATGTGTAGTTGTTGAAGCCAGTCACGTCCTAACAAGTTTGGACCACTTCATTCAGCAATATGTATGGTTTCGTTCACCGTCACACCCTCATATGAAACATTCACATTTTTCGTCCCAAGCAACTTCACCTCTTCTCCTGTATATGTTGGAAGCCGAACTGGGACTTCCTGAAGTTTACCTTTCACGGTCGGTCCCAGGCTGTCTTGCCATAATTTTTCACTGCATAGTGTTACGGCACTACCCGTATCCAGCTCAAAAACTATTGGCGCACTGTTCACCTGTATTTCTACTTGATACGGCGGTTGAACGCGGTTGGTGGGAGCAGCTGCATGAAGGACGTATTCTGGGATTTCTGACCTTGTAACTTGATTTGTAACAGCAGAGTTAGTTTCGAACGCTGGTGCTGAGCGGCATACTTTCGTGAGGTGGCCACGTTTCTTACAGCAATTGCAAACGGTTTGTGTGTGCCGGCAATCCATCGGATGATTGCGACGGCCTCCACAACGATAACACTTAAACTGTGTTCTGTTCGACCGTTGCTGTAATCGATTCACCTGGTATGACGAATCCACCGGCTTTGGTGTCACGGTAGGTTGCACAGATTGTAACAAGCTTGCGTTATTTTCTGCTGATTCCACCGACTTTGGTGTCACGGTAGGTTGCACAGATTGTAACAAGCTTGCGTTATTTTCTGCTGATTCCACCGACTTTGGTGTCACGGTAGGTTGCACAGATTGTAACAAGCTTGCGTTATTTTCTGCTGATTCCACCGACTTTGGTGTCACGGTAGGTTGCACAGATTGTAACAAGATTGCGTTATTTTCTGCTTATTCCAATGCCACCGCAGTATCGTAGGCCGTTTCCAAAGTTAAGTTACTATCAGCAAGTAAACACTGTTGTACGCGGGCGTTTCTCACACCAACTACCAAGCGATCCCTGAGCATATCGTTTCGAAAATCTCCGTAGTCACAGTGCTCCGTAAGACTCCGTCATTCCACTACGAAATCCACAATGGATTCTCCTTCCTTTTGTACCCTTGTATTGAAATTGAATCGCTGTGGGATAACAGAAGGTTTAGGATTGTAATGCTTGGAAACGATAAACACAAGATCGTCAAAAGTTCTCGTAC